AGAGAGACTGGATCTCCGAGCGTACACTGCAGTTGTCCGCAAAGGCAAGAGATGAGCGGCTGATCCATTCTCTTGAATTTCGTATTCTCCGTCGCCAAGAGGGACCGTAAACAATACCGAAAGGCGATTGTAGACAGCATGGAGGCTGCAACCGTCGCAACGGACTTTGGAAAGCTATTCCATCTAATTCGTGTCGCAGCAGGAAAGAGGCAGACTGTTGCGCAGCACCACAGGCCAACTTATTCAGGGAACCGGGTGAAAAGTGCAAAGGTGGGTTGAACACTCCGATGGGCTGCTCAGCCGACCATCAAACCAAGCTGGCTCTCTACAGATGTCAAGCAGTTTGGAGACTTACGACATCAATTGTGACCCATTTAGTACGACAGAAAACATCAATGCAGTCATTTCTTTGAAAAACAGGAAGGCCCCAGGAGAAGACGCGATACCACCAGAGTTATTCAAAGCTAGCTCACTAACTCTGATCAATCCGCTGTACTCTCTTTTCCATACCATTTGAGGACGAGAAGTTTTTCCAAAAAACTGGACAACTTCAATTTTAGTCCCGGTCCCAGAAAAGGGTGACAGATCTAGATGCGAAAATTACAGGGGTATTAGCTTGATTTATATTACCGCCAAATTGTTTGTAGTGATACCGCTTAATCGCTTCGCACTCGTCAGAGGTACCCACACTCACCCGAACCAGGGGGGTTTCACCGCGATAGAGACTGAGTTGAACCAATTTTCATTCTCCGTAGAATTCTGGAACACCGCTACAATTTTCAACAGACTACCACTGCATGTTTCATTGACTTCCGCGCTGTGTTTGACTCTGTCGATAGAGAATCCTTGTGGTGCATATCGCGGTCCGACGGGATGCCTGAGAAGTTCATCAGCCGTTTAAAGTCATACTAATCAGGAACCCGGGCACGCGTCCGTACCTATGGAGAAGAATCGGCTGAATTTACCCTAAGCTCTGGAGTTAGGCAACGTAGTCCCCTATCGCCGGTGTTATTCAATTACACCGTAGATTGGATAATGCAGCTTGGCCCAGATACATGGATCGCAAACCTCGAGTTTGCGGATGTCGTTGTACTTGGAGACAGCATGGACAACCTCCAACCTGTTGTCAGTCGTATAAATCAGTTTGCCTAGTCTATTGGGATAGAGATCAACAAGTCCAAAACGAAGACATTTTCGACCGAAACTACCATGTCACAACCCCTCTCGATTAACGGGGAGCTTGTCCAATCAACCGAAGTTTTCAAGTATCTCCGCTCTACGATAAGACCAAACCGCCAGGCTAAGGATGAAATCCAACTCCGTGTAGATGAAGCTAGAAGAGCCTTCCTACAACTCCTCAAACTGTTGTGGAATCGATGCGAAATAAGCTTAAACACAGCTTCGTGTTTATCAGGCTTCCATCCGCCCCATCCTCACTTATGGTTGTGAAGCCTGGCCACTAAGAGTACAAGATACAAGGAAGCTCGAAGTCTTTAATCATTGGTGCTTACGCCGCATCTTAAAAGTAAATTGAAGAGATCACTTTTCCAATGATGAGGTTCGACGGCGCTGCCTGAATATTGACGAGCTTTCAAAAATGCCACAACGCCGGCACCTTCAAGGGTTTAGCCACGTACTCCGAAAGCCCGACACTTAACTCTCGTGACAGGCTGTAGCCCCCGCACCGTGCCGTGGATGGCGTTGCCGATTCGCTGGTCAACTGAAGACCTGGAGTAGTACGATCAAGGTGGATTTGGAATGGCTGGGCCTTCAATCCATATATGGAATTCGCAACTGAAACCAGAACTGGATTTCTCACTGCGTCAACCTTACTACCGATCGTCATGCATGGGCCGCCATTATTAGACATCCAGGAAGCCGACTTATCCTCTTGCAGGAGTTAGTCGATCAAAAGCAAAAGGAAGTAAGAAAAAATTGTAACCGGCAAGTCCAATCAAATCCAGGCGTATAAGCACAGCAGACTGGTTAAATGCCTTGACCCGGTGACAACTTACCGTGAACGTGACCGACTTCGCCGACGACGTCTTTGACCCGAATCGTGTTTATCATATTTTGTTCTGCAATTGTACCCCAAAAAGGAAAAAACAAGCAAAATCCGATGCGCATTATGATTTATGCATGCAAGTCAATTTCGGTTAAAAATTTGTCACCAGATTAAGAATCATTCTGTTCTCAACATGTGAATATCCGAAATACAATCAAAAAGCTGTCAAAACAGGGATAAACTTTGTATACACTAGGCGTGCCATCAAAATCTCTTCGACAATAATGTTTAGACGTCTGATAAGTATACTCTCCGCCTAAGGACAACGGATATACACAGAAGTTCACCATCATCATCATTTGTTGCAAGAAAGAGTGTAATCATCATATTCACTTTTAGACGGGATCAGAATGAAAAACTAACAAAACACCGTCTGGGACACACTACGTTGCTTCTCTAATTCATCTCTTTGAAACTAGGAGAATTTTCACTCGATTCAAGTTGGACACGTTGGGCTTTTAAGTTACCACCACATCGTGTAATGAACTAAAATAAATTTCACATGTTCTGGGAAAGGCTAGAAAAAGCGACGCAGTGATTAGACGATGACTATGCGTAGAATTATGCAGCCGGTAGCTTCAGTATCAGCTTCGGCCAGTGCTTCCCATCTTCCAGATCGGGGTCTAATCATTGAGGATTGCTGTTAGAGACACCGAGATATGCGGTTCAGAATATAAATAAGCGACGAGAACGGTAAAATCCAGTGTGCAATAACCAAATCCACACAAAACAGTCAACAGATCAAATTCAAAGGGGGCGGGCGGTAAAATCAAGCAACAGTCTGATGAAAAAGTTATTTTTCAATAATTTGATCCCTAGCCTTTCATATATTACACGGAAAACAATAGAAAGCAGATCGTACAGCAGACAGACATTGGTCATAGAGGAGAGTTCCCTATGGTCGAATGGTCTCAATCACACGACCAGAACAATCTGATGTTGTTGGGAGATAGCTACGCTGTCAATCGCATCACCATCACCCGTCTCCTATGGGAGCCTCGTGTGATTCGGCAGTTTTGGCTAACGTGGAATCCCAAACTACAATGTCAAGCTCTTCATTCACTTGCACTTACAAACCGGAAAACACGA